ATGTGAAGATATTTTCTCTCTGCCTTCGTCCCACACTCACAAACGCAGGTTCACATCACACACACACCTACACCCTCTGAAGCCTCTCCCAACAGCCATCCAGGATGGCAGGCAGGCAGGTCTGTCATATCAGAGGTGTAGGGGGGTGGACTGGACACGGCTGATGGGAGACATCTGCCCTGGCTGCCGGTCTGTCAGGGTCAGAAGACTATAGAATGAGGTGTCAGCATTGTGATAAAAACAGTCACACATACACACAAAGATACAAGGTGCTGGGAGAGAAAATGAGCCCAGTCCAAAAACACATCCCACCACCCAGCAGACAGCACAGTCTAAACTGTCAAGTGACGTGCCTGATTTGCTCGTCAGGTCTGTGTGTGTACATTACAGCAAACACAGCTGTAATTGGGGATGAGTGGCCATGTCATGCAGTGCAACCCTATTAGATAATGTTGTGAAGGCCTTCAGTCGCCGCACTGTGCAGCCGCTGCGTGTGAATTCCTCGTAAACCAGCAGCAGCTATTCCTTCGCACAGGATGGGTGGTTTCAACATCTCTTCCTGGTTAAGATTGGTATGAGTATCGTCTGAACTTGAGCTGGCTCATCTTCCCCTCCTTTAAGAATGATCATAAGCTGGAGCTTTATATGTTATTTGTGGAACTTGCATGGTCTTCAAATGTCAGGAAAATGGCAAATACCACAGCAAAGTCAATAAAAATGCTCCCATATCATGCCTGTAACCGCAGATGCAAACACTAAAAGCATTGCAGGGTGCTCTTATAAATGGCATGTGTAGGAAATCTTTGAGCTTTATTTTTCATGTGCATCAGACAATGTGACTATAAACACCAGTGGTTTCACCTGTGCACCATATCCGTGCAAAGGCTAAACATACACTGGAGCTAAGTAAGCAATGCCCTGTGCCATGTTACCTTTTTTAATTGCTTATTGATTACTGTGTCATGCTGTGACAAAAGCAGGGGAAACAATGGAGGGAAACCTGGAAGTGATGTGAATTGAGGGATGTGATGCATGGCTGAGCAGGAGACCGTCTCAGAGGGGTGGGGGTGGGGGTGGGGGGGGCATAAAGTAAACTCTCCTGGAGAGTAAATAAAGGGGATGTTTGTTTTTGTTTTAAACACGCCCTGCACTGGCTCACAAGAGGGTTTTCTGTTTTAAAAGCAAGAGCCACCATATTCTGTTTATTATAGGGATTTAGAAAGTCTATAATAAAGCAAAAGAAGAGAGACACACAGATAAGTAGACTTGCCCTTGTCTGTCAATCTGGGCATAGAGTAGGTCTTTCTTTGTGAACGAGAAAAACAACATGAGCTTGGTGCCGGAAGTTTGAGGTCTAGGCTTTTATCACCACCCGAATCCTCTGTTCTATCTCTTTTGGGTTTCCTGTGTAAGTCACCATTACACTAATATGCCCTTGATGACTCTCTGCATGAGAAGTCACACGCTGTTTACACAACACACACAGAGTTCAGCTCACTTTTAGGAGCCAGTGAAAAAGTACCCAGAGTGTTTTGATGAATCGATACAGTATGTCAAATGATCAGGACTCTCCTTGTGATGAGCAAAATTGCGAAACTCTGTTTCTATTATGAGAACTTTGTAGGTTAGTTATTTTGCGATCAAATTTTATCAGATCATGTACTTTCACCGCCCTGAGAAACTGCTTCTTCTAAATGAAAAACAACACTCAGTTCGACTGTGCAATATTACTGATCTTTAATGATGAAGATCAGATGTAGGGCTGCAGTTATGAAGTGACTTTTACATATTTGACAATGATATTAACACATAAGTTTAGACATTTCAGTCACTAGTTTCTGTCTCTATATTGACATTCTGACTCACTGTCTCTATGACTCATCGCATGCAGGCACGCAAATGGGAAATGATACCCACATATAATGATCGGCTGGGGATCAGATGCTGCTCATCTGTGACTCTTGCTGCTTTTCCCAGGGTTACAAGAGACTGACAGAAACAGGCAGTGAGGAGTGACCTTAATCCTCCAATGTCTCCATGTGATCCATGATGAACCTGCTGCTGATCTGATCCAAATGACGCGGAGAGGGAAAACGCCTTCCCTTGATCTCTCTACAAGAAAAAATAAACTAAACAAACAAGTTACAGAAGGACAGCTAGAGAACAGCAGCATTGCAATCTTGCCAAAGGACAGGGGTTTAACAAAGCAGGGATGAGCAGATCCAATATCAAGTAATACCAGGATTAATATCTTGAATTTGAATTCTTGGTAGAAGTGGGCTTCTGTAAAACACATTTCTTTGTTCAGCACATGTATAATTGCCTTTATATTGGTTTATTACTTTATTTTATTCATTTTTTTGTACATTAAGCTCAAGGGCATTACTACTACTACTGCCCCTGAGTTAATTCACAAAAACACCAACTAGCTTTTTCCTGTTGTCTCTGCCACTGAGACAGTGCGGTTTGCCTGTGTGTCTATGAGGGGGGTAGAGAAGAGGAAGTATAGTTTTGTGTCTCCAGCTACTTGCTACATTTTTTGTACTTTCTCAGTATCCGAAACATAGACAATTTCAAAACAATTTTTTTGCACAAATTTCTTAAATTAATATGCCCACATATGCTATATAAAAATTAAAAGTTGGCACTGCTCAAGATCTCGGATCTTTTTGCAGAACAAGCTCTACAGAACAGAACGCTGGTGGGTATCACTGGGGGCTGTGGCTAAGTTCTAAATGAAAAGTTCCCCTATGTGGACATTTAACTTCCTAATAGTTTGATTGCTGCAATAACATTACTTGCAAGTGGTCTACCCAGTGAGGTTACTGGCATTGTAAATAAGCCAATGGTGGAAATTTGTTTTGCACTGGCAGGAAAATAATCCAGAGGTGCTGCTAACAGGGTTCTCTTGGAACCAAACTTTTTACAACCAGGATTCTCCAGTAAGAGGAGATGGGCGAAAGTATCGTCACGTTGGAACAGTGCCGTGTGCCCATGTTGATAATAAACAAGTCTGAGCCACTCATTATGCCAGAGCTGATTAGGGAGTGCAGTTTAATAAGGGCTAACCTATAGTAATGTTGGGAGGAGGCTGTAAAAACAGTGCAGGATTATCACACCCACCACAGGGCACACGGGAGCAGCAGAGGTAGGCTTGACTGTTGATGGCCAGATGTGTTAGGCGCTCCATGCCAGGCACTGAGATTAAGGTCGCACTGTCCTGGTTGGATTAGTGCCAGGCGCTACATGATGCTAATGGTCTGGCAGTGCCAGGCAGAGTGAAAGCATAGGTAGGCTGGCAGATGTCGACACAAGACTTTTATGTTTGTGCCAGGCCCCTCCTTCCACATGGCTCCCTGGCCCCTCCGCAAGTCAACTTTAACTCTAACCAAACAGATGACAGATGATATAAGAGGCTTGGTAGCAGCAGCTGGGGTTAGTAGAGGCCACAACACCCAAAGGTCCCAACCTTTTGATCTAATAATGGATAGAACTTTCTGTTAATCTTTTGTCTCATTTTCTCTCTCACACACACTTTTTACATCGCCTCATCTGACTTAATGAAAATGAATATTCTATTGTTGTCAGACAAGGAAAAAGGCTTCTCCTGAACATTAAGGTAACCTTACCTGCTGGGTGCTTTAAAAGGTGCTCATCTCCACTCCCTGCACAATCTAATGCAATCCAATGCCATAGCTCTGCAATAAACACTACCTTTGTGGAGTTCAGTATCTGTTAAATGAACCTATACAACCAAATGCAACCTGAGAAAACGTTAGGGCTACAATGTTAGACTTTTTCATTATTGATTAATCTGTTGGTCATTTTTCCAAATGATCTGTAAAATGTCAGAAAAAAGTAAGTATGTGTCAATTATAACTTCCCAGAGCCCACAGTGACTTCTTCACATTGCTTGTTTGGTCTGACCAACTTAGATAGAGATATTTTTAGTTTACAATGATATAACAAATGTTACTTATAGTGTATTTGTTGTGGACTATTTTTAGCCACGGATTAATACACATCTGGTGCGTTAGTTAGTCTTTACGGAAGCAGATTTTATCAATAATAAACTACAGTATGTGAGTGCTCATGGTAATGAAGGAACATGTCGGTGCAACGATGTGATGTTTTCAACTATTTCTTGAAAACTGACTTTGGTTATGCTTGTAAGTAGGTTCAATTAATCGTTGGTTCTCATCTTTTTATTTTATACTTAAGAAAAAAACATCATGAGCTTTATGCTTGCTGATTGATATTCTGACAAATAATCGTTTCAGCACTATATAACATCACACGACGCAGAAGAGCAAGAAACAGATAGGGTCAGTGAAGGCAGCACAGCGGACAGTGAACTGGCCGAGCAGGCAGGCAGCAGGCAGGCTAGCTCCTCCAGGGAATGGTTGGAAACGGGAACATGAGTCCACATTTCTAGACAGTGACTGTCCTAGTTTCAGGAATACAATCCATTCTCTCTCTCTCTCTCTCTCTCTCTCTCTCTCTCTCTCTCTCTCTCCCTCTCTTCTGTCTCTCTCAGCCATACAAATCATGCAAAGTTAACATCAAAGTTTGCGCTCAAAGGTCACTGGATCTCTCATAGAACAGACGACCTCTGTGCTGCTGCAGGGAGGAGGTAAGCCGATGAAGGCGGCGCCTTTGGAGGCTGTATGTCATTACTTTTTTTTATATTTCATCCTCTCTTCCCTCATTCCCTGACCTACCACCCTTCCATCTACACATCTCATTATGTTTTGATATCCCCCTCCTTTCCCATCCCTCCCTCTCTGTCTCTCTGTCAGCCGCTCGCTTCCTCTCTTGTCCCCTGTTTTAAGGACACGGGCTTGTTGAAGTGGAAAGCCGGCCTGTCGTGTGCTATTATGGCCGACGTAGGACCTGTGGACTGACACAAGGTGTGCGGAGCCAAAATAAATCCAAACAGACCACACGATTACATTAGCTCTCTTTCTCCCTGTCTTTCTTGCTTCTCCGTCCATCCTTACCTCATACCTGCAGGACTAGAACAAAGACAGAGACACTTTGAACAAGAGGGAAGAGAGAAAGGAAGTGTGGTAGAGTGGTTTAGAGGGAAAGAGAAATGAGTAGCACAGCCAGTAATAGAGAGAGGAAGGACAGAACATGACAGAAGGAAACAGAGTCTTTGGAGCAAACCGTAATCCAATAACAGGTCTTGTGAGAAGACACGCTGACCATAAAAACTCCAGAAAGGTTATGTGGGCACCAGATATATATACATCATCCTCTTTTGCAGACAGAGAAGAACAAAAGAGAGAGCGGGAGAGAGGACAACAGGTTTGTTCATTTGTTAATCCCCTGAAGCCCCCCTACTTCCATTGTGTTCATCCCAATCTTTCGCTCTAGTGGAAAGCCCCCAACCCCCACTACACTGTCATAAGATTTCCCAGGAGAGAGTCAGATGGTACCCTGTCTCTTTACCTCCTCTCTACTTCCTCTCTCTGTCACTCGACAGGCCTTCTCTTCCTCTCTCGCCGTCATATCACTCATTCCTACGGCACTGATGTGTGAAGAGCAGTGGGGGAGAAACCTCCACCAAGGGGCCTCTTAAGTATTCAAGGTCACCGCTTGACAAAGTGAACGCTGCAGCGTGGCATGTGATGTTTTGTAATATTTGATGCGCTTCCCAGCAAATCTGATAGTGTGTGCTTGTGTGTGTTTATGTGTGTGTGTGCGTGAAGTTTGCAAAACAGGATGACCTGTGTCCTGAATTACCAAACTAACTGATACGGGTCTGGTTGTATTTTGATAATCATCGTGTAATCGCAAATATCTGATGTCTGGTGAAAACATTGTATCTCCCAAATTGCTGACTTTCCAGGAAGGAAACTGTTTTCATAATTTTCAGTCGACTTCTTTTTGAAAGAGTTGCGTAAACTCAAAGATTAGAGGGTGTTTCTCAACCATAGAGGAGATAATGATCCTTTAGCTGGAGTTAGCAAACTCAGTGTGTCCTGATGGCTGAATGGTTGGCACACCTGTCTGCCTTTAGGCTGTCTGCTATCAAATAAAGAAACCCCTCAAATGTAAAACATGAAAACCTATAAAATCTAAACTTGCATCTCAACAACATTTGCTGAACAAAACAGAAGCCAAATATAAAATAAATAAAACAATAAAAACAAACTACTATCTATCAACTACGATGGAGGTGATAGAAGATTCACACTTATTTTGACACACATTGTGAGTGACAGTGATGTACGGTCTGCGGCTACAGCCAAGCTAGCATTGATCAGGACTGGTTGCCAGCTCACCGCCAAATCAATCATGTCCATTGATCCAACACCATGGGAAGAATATGTGTGTATACTGGGGAATGTTTGTTGTTGCAGGCTATAAAGAATATGACATTACAATGTTAAAAATTTGAGGAAAATCAATGCTGATACACAAGGTTGCAATGCTCGAGGAGCACAAGCAAAAGAAAATGCTGCTGCATTCAGTTTATTATTTTGTGCAGGCCTCTTCATTATTAACAATAATAATACAAACATCATAATGTCAGTGAGATGTATACATGAGGACCTTGACTCTGAAAAGAAGATTTGATCCGGTTTTCATTAAATATAGCCATCTATCCATGTGTTCATGGTCAAAGTCTTAAGAAAGGTGAAAATTTTACTTGCAATTCGGTCACCTGGTCAAAGACAAGTCTAATGCAATGGCTCCTCTGTGGATCTATCACCAATCCAAATCATTTCTGCTCCGTCTTAGTTAGGCATCCCAACATACCAAATGACAAACAAAAGTAATAACTGGGGAAAAAAACAACTTTCATGTGCTTTGGCTGAAGATTGTGAATACTGATCATCTTTCCTCCCTCCCTGGAACAGAGCTCAGAGTAGATAAATAGGAAGGAGAGCAAATAAAGAGTGGGAGAAAGAGAGAGACATGGCCCCAAGACCTGTGCGTGTTTTGAGACTCTCCCTCAAAACTCCCAGTCTGCCCAGGCAGAGCTGTAGATGGTTGACACACAGACATAGCATAAAAGACAGGCGAATAAAGAAAAGAAAGTTATGGTGGTTGGGATGAAAGAGAGAAATATAGAGTGTGTGTAAAAGAGAGAGGGGGGATAGAAATGATTGCATGCTGGTGTAATGAAGCCTATTCCTGCTCCTCTTATCTATCTGGGGGAGGAAAGGAGACAAAAGCGGAGTGAGTATCACAGTGGTACCAAAACATAAAATTCAGATGGAGGGAAAAGCAGAATGGTGGGGTGGGGGGTAGGAGGGGCAAATCACCAACTGCTCCCTCCACAAAAAAAAGAAATACTTTGTTGTAACATGAAGAGGCTGCTTTATGGTTTAAAAACAATGTCCTGCAATCTTTATCTTAACCGCACATCCTTTCTCGGTGCACATACACTCTCGCACACATACCTCTTGAAGAACACGTGAATGCAGGCGTCCTCATACACATGTTCATGCCACAGGTTCATGCACATAGGTGCACAGACAATTTCTTTAAAAAAAAGGGGGGGGGGGGCACATTACACATGAAAGGATGTGGGGGAGGGTGGAAGCGGGGGCGGGTGTGTTGGTGGTGGGGGCAGCGCAGGGCGGCTGTTCAGAGTGTGTGTCTTTTTATCAGGTGAAGGAGAAGCCGGGAGGGCAGTGTAAGATTTATCTGCTGCCGTCGGAAAACTTTGACCCCGGAGTTGTAAATCTGTCAAAGGAGTCTAGCCAGCTCAACAGGAAACACGAAGAGGAAAGGGGGGAGGGAGGGGAGGAGTGGGGGTGGGGGGTTTGGAGGGGCTGGGATGTTTGGGGGGGGGGACCATAAACTCCACCATTTCAAAAGAGGCACTTTTCAGAGTTGGGGGGAGGGGGGCGTCCCTGCCATGTTTACAATCCTGAAACTGATCCCTCACAGCTGGTGAATCTCCCTGCAGCTTTACCCCCCCACACACATACCCAAAAACTTATAAAGTTAAAAACTCATGCACACACAGAAACTATGCTAGAAATCATTGTTTAGACATAGGAATGTTTCAAATCTCTGTTTGTGCTTGGAGCATATGTCACTTGAGATGCAGCTTCCAGTGATTATGTTGAGCCTCTTCCACTGTTATGAAATGCTGGAAGAATTCATGAGGTATTAAACAAATCCGTGAAAATTCTCTGCTTGGGCCTTCCACGACCACCACAAAAGGAACCTTTCGATTACACACTTTCAGTGTTTTTTGAAAATAGTGAGGAAGACGCTCAGCCCTGTGTTTATGTAACAACTACGAAGTGAATTTTCAGCCACCTGACCACACAATCCCAGTGTTACTGATGCTGTCACACAACTAAATGAGTACAGAACAGTTATTTCATTAAGGCTTCTAATACAGATTCTCAAAAATTACCACTGGCTGTAAGCTAACATTTATATCCGTTGATAAAATCACATTTTACAGTAATTAAAAATAAATAAATAAAAATACAGTTGTACTATAATGTTTGAAAACAAAATAAGAGATCAACGTTAGAAGTGACAGTCCTCGTTCAAACTGGTAAGACCAAGCCATGGCTATTTTTGCATGAGGTTACAAAGAGTCTACGGGCATGCCAGCAGCTCTGTGGGGTCAGGGTTAGGTTTAGGGCAACAACTAGCACACTCACAATGACAATGCTAACATGCTGGTGTTTATCAGGTATATCTGATAGTGTATGCTTGTGTGTGTGTGTGTGTGTGGGTGTGTGTGTGTGTGTACGTTGTGTGTGTTTATCTCCTTAATCTATGTTTAACAAGCAAGCAGCTGTCATACATACCATGAAAAGAGATCATACCTCCACTTTCCCAGTGCACAAACAATGGTGCCGCGTATGACTCACTGAGAAAGTGTTGAACTGGGGCACAGTATCGCTACACCAAAACAAAAACTAATTCATTTGTCTCTGTCTCATTTTACTTAACACAAACACTGCATTTCCAAAATAAACGGTGATGGGCAGGTGTTTGAATCCACATTCAGTACATTATGAAAAGGCTCACCAACCCAACATCTTTCCTTCCACTGGGAATAAGTGTGACCGGTCTGTCCTGTGCGCCCTAGACTGTGTGCCTGCTCTGTGCCACTGGGGCAGGGCAATTGGACACACTTTACTGGGACTAAAATCATCTATTACTGAGCCCTGGGAAACCCCAACACCTTGGCACAGGGTGGCACGCTGTCACAGACTGCCCTGGAAACAGCTCAATTAGCCACCTGGCCACTGCTCCCCCATCACAAGACTAAGCTTTTCAGTCCGTGGGGCAGAGGTGCAATGGATCAAGAGGAATGGGAGGGCTTTGGCAGCTGACTGCCATCCTATTGCACAGGGAACACCTTCCTTAGTACTGGATTTTTTTTTTCTCCAAATCATCCATAAAGCATCTCCATGACAGAGTGCTGGTAAAGGGAATGAGATCATTCTAGAGCTATTGTTCCCCACTAGCAGCCCACACCTTCGCATTGCATCGCTATAACCGAAATCCTATGAGAAAACAATGAGAGAAGGCTGAGCTATTGTGTCAGCGAGTTCATTCACAAATTAGAAATTTGAGGCTACAGTGTGAATGTGTGGGAGCATATCTGGACTGGTGTAAACAGAGCTGTGAAGAGACAAAGAAACCTCACGAGCATGTGAGGTGTGTTGTGTGTTGATCTAGGTTTGATTGACCGGCTGTATGCTAACACACCTCGAGCCGGTGTGTGGGATGACTTAGTCTAATTCTGCATGTGCCTGTGCGTATACAGTGTAGTAAGAGTGTAAATTACACAGACAGGGGCCAAACAAGGGCATAGTCAGTCAGTGCCCCAGATAGACACTGTCACTCACACACAAACACACACTTCTCACATTATGGGGAAGGGATTTTTTTCATGATTTCGTTGAGTGAAAGAGAGAAAGAGAGGTGTGAAGCCTCACGCAATGCCAGTCCATTTGGCTCGTGGTGTGTGTGTATGTGTCTGTTTTGGGTGCTATAGCACCAACAGTGTGCCAAATTTGGTATGTATGTTGTGGTTAGCTAGTGAGTGCATCTCTGCATACAAAGGTGACAATCAGACGTTACAGACAGGAAGTCATAGTTCCAGACACCGCCCTTCCATGCTCAAAAACAAATATGCACCTTTAAAAAAAAAATCTCTTTCAAATCTTCTCACTGCTGCTTGTCTGCTCACAGGTCTGGAAATATCATTAGTTTACAACAATAGACTCAAGGTACAATCCCACAAACAAAGTAGCCCCAAATAAAGCTGGGTGGCAGCAGTTTTCTATATATATGTGAACATGCCTGCAGGCACATGTGAGCATGTGTTGGCATGAGGGAGGTACAGAGGGCATTAGAGGCCACGTTTGGGGAACTTGTTGCGGTAACAGAAACATGTGCAGCATAGAAGGGGAAGTGAAAGCTGAGGGCCGCAGCTGTTCGTGTGTAGAAGGCCTCATTTATGCTAACAATAAGAGAAAGGAAGTGAAGAGCAGAAATTGGCCACGTGCCACAGTAATCTGAGTGTT